TTACTCTCAAAATCCAAGATGGCTGCCTGTCGGCCATCTTGAATTAGAATAAGTCCAAAAAAGGTACAATGCACAACTAGGGACCAAGGGGAACCTGCATATGAAATTTGAGAAAGATCCATCCAGTACTTTTCCAGAAATAGCGGTAACAAACTTTTACTTCCAAAATCCAAGATGGCCACCTGTCGGCCATCTTGAATGCGAATCAGTTTAAAAAAAGGTACAATGCACAACTAGGGACCAAGGGGAACCTGCATATGAAATTTGAGAAAGATCCGTCCAGTACTTTTCCAGAAATAGCGGTAACAAGAATTGTTTACATCCAAAACCCAGGTCAATTTGAATAACCCACCATCTCTTAGCGCGCGCGCGCGCGCGCGCGCGCGCGCGCGCGCGCGCGCGCGCGCGCGCGCGCGCGCGCGCGCGCGCGCGCGCGCGCGCGCGCGCGCGCGCGCGCGCGCGCGCGCGCGCGCGCGCGCGCGCGCGCGCGCGCGCGCGCGCGCGCGCGCGCGCGCGCGCGCGCGCGCGCGCGCGCGCGCGCGCGCGCGCGCGCGCGCGCGCGCGCGCGCGCGCGCGCGCGCGCGCGCGCGCGCGCGCGCGCGCGCGCGCGCGCGCGCGCGATGGTGGGCTAAAAAGGCATGTTGACGATAAAAAACCTAGCCATTGGCTATAAAAAAGAATATCCAAATTATCATGAAATAAATCACCTTTTAACTTTGATAGGATACATTATTTACAAAAGTTACTATATTAGTGAGGCAAAAACAATACTGGTTAACATAGGAAAACATATTCAAACAACACATAAAAAATGACAGTAGATGAAAACAAATACAGAAAACTTCCATATAAAACCTTTCAGGATGTGCTGGGTGTTCTTTAGACAAAATTCCTTCATGTATATTGTCTGTTAATTATTTCATATCAAAAGCAAATCTTGAAGAGAAAACTGGCAGTAATCAATTATTCTGAATTCAGAAATAAATCGACCTACTTATTTAATCATATATTCATATGGACAACTACACAATGTTTACATATATGTATCACGTGACCCCGGACCCATGCGTCACAAGGCCACCAAGGGGAATCTGAGCTTTGAATTATATTTAATACAACTACCTTTTATTACAATTATTAATAATAATATAGAAGGTATTCAAAATACAAGGAAAAACTACAGTGAAACACAACTTAAAGCAGCAATTCAATATAGGACTACATAAACAATAGTAGTAGGCATACTGTACCGAACATTATGCACTAGCTAGTTATAGTGTTGTCACCGAACGTGTGCTCGGAGACTATCAGAAAGATAAGCGCATATATATCATTACTGTGCCGGACACACGGTCCATTTTTGTAAAATAATACTTACCAGTTGTTAACTAACACCCCATTGCAGCTGACACACCAGCACTACTAAAATACGAGTTCACACGCATACCCCATTGGAAATAAGCCTATTTTATAGGCTTTATGGGTAATCCAAGGCCAAAGGCATTTTCATCCGGTTTTATCAAATTTCTCTCATTTTTATTGATATTTCTAAAACGTTCAACTATTTTACTTAGAAGATTTGCAAGCACAGTGTAATTTAATTTCTTCGATACTAGTTTAAACTGTGATATTTTAAGGTATGTGAAATTCTTCTGTGATATTTTATATTTTATAATTAATAATTTTAAGAAATCCACAATAATTTATTACTGATTTTAATAGTTATTGAATTGCTTATGTAATGTGATATTTGTAATTTTATTATGCCTTTGCCTGAATAAACATAATAATAATAATAATTACGCAACAAGTTTTTAAAAGTAAAGAGTAAAAACCAAACTGACGGCAGGATAATGAACTCCGGATTTGACACGGAAATAAACGGTTTAATTCGATATATTATTACATGTTATGTATCATTAATTTGGTAATTATACTATTCATAGATATTATAGATAATATAATATTAATAACAAAAACAAAACAAATGAAAATTTAATATATATATATATTTCCCCATAAAACAATAAGAGTGAAATATTTCAGTACTTACGTCAATTATATGTATACATATACTATGCATTCTATTTTTTTCTGTAGTTTGTGTAGATTGTGTCTTCGTAGCACCTTATGTTTTTATGTTTCCATGTATCATGTAATATGTTTGTTAACTTGTATGGTTAAATGTACTGTAATAAAAAAAAGATCAGATTACAACAACAAAAACCCTTCATTTTATCTGTATCATTACTTACATTAATATATTGGCCTGCTGTACATCAGAGCTTGCCACAATAGGATTTTACAACTATGGGTAGATTTCATTTTGAAAAAATAAAATTAATAAAAGAGAATTAAAACAAGATATTTTCATCCGTACTGAAAACACACTCGTATTTATTTTTCTGAATCACGTATCGGGAAATATTTTATGATGTGATAATATTCTTTAAACATATCAACTCATATATTTATACAATGTGCTATTCTGATTTTACTGCTGTTCATTTTACATAACAGTGTTCATATTTATAATACAGGTTTAATCTACTGGTGTATTCATAAAATGGTTATTGAGTTGAACAAGATTTTTTTACTTTTAAATAATTTACTTTACAAATTCAATTACTTTTCCAATATTGAGCAGTTTCGTCTCCGATCAATACATGTAAATAGTTATTCACTATGGTTCACTATGGAATATAACATGCTTCCTTTCGGAACTATTGTTTACAATATCACTTTATGATATAATCTCCATAAGTACTGTTTTTCCATACATTATACCATATATTATACCTATCGTTTTCTCCAAATATTACGATGATAGAGAAGTGAAATTAACGGTCAATTAGCGATTAGCATATCTACAATACAATGCCATATTTGCAGATTTTATAGGAAAAGAGTTCCAATATTACCTGTTATTACCCTCTAGATATTCAGGTCAATCATGGCCTCCCCAAGTGCAATTTAAGAGACAAATATGTGGACGTATTCAATGTTTTTATCCATAAATTTATATTTGTGGGAAAAAAATGTCATCATGATTCTATCATACCATGTAGCATGTATAATATCAATGTTACTCTCATTAAATTAATTTGTTAACAATTCGTTTTTGTGTTCTACATGTATACGTCATTATCTAGTCACATGAAGTATCACCACACGAACTGTTTATAACCAATCGTATAAAGATTTTCTTTTAATCAGTTCAATTACTTTTCCGTTTTGTATTAATGTATCAAGACAAGACGTGAATATTTATTCCCGATTGATTTTTTTTCGGGAAAAATTTCCAATCTCGGTATTCGGTTCTGACTGTGGATTTTAAAGAACTCCATAGCTTTTGACAAATCTTTAACACCTCTTCTGAAACAAATTATTCTATTAGAATATTTAATTTTCCACCCTGTACATCACCATACCCCATTCTAAACCGAAAGAACACCTTCGTTCTCTTGTTAAGAGCGTTTTCTTTTCCAAGAAAGGTGAAAAGTGGTATAAATACAAGTGTATTTCATAATAAATAAAGATACGTCCAAATCAAAGCAGGAATATACGGAGGACAAAATCATAGAATGATTGAGTTTCTGGTTGACAACACCTTCGTCGAGTTTGGTGGCAAGATCTTCAAACAGAAAAGGCGACGAGGACCAAAAAGTTACCTTACAGAGTTTGCCAGAAAGCCTAAGAGGAAGGAGTCAGACCAGAAAAGAGGACAGGCAAGAATTTATATTAGACAGGAGATCGATAGATGGCGAAAGATGAAGGAGGATCTTGGACTGAATACGGATTCGGAATTCGCGAAGATACTGCTTGACTGGTTAGCTTAAAGAGCCAGACCCACTCCTCGACCGATATTATTTTATATACATTATATATATATATACATAAAAAATTATGATTTTCTATTTTTCTCGGGTAGCAAAAGTCCTGACTAGCCCTGTAATACCGCAATTTTAAAGTAAATCGCTGCCAATCTAACGTAATTAATAGTTTTAAAAAAGAATTCGAAACGACTCAGTGCTAATTCATAATTATGCGGGAAGTCCTGTCCTCTGACGCATGCGCAAAGAACTGTAAATAAATCTGCCGTCTTCCAACATGACAGAAAGCGTGCAAGGGAAGCGGGGAAGAAAACATGTTTTGACGGACTCTGTGTCGAAAAGAAGGAAGATGGCTGGTTCATACTCTGTATCGCTCTCTGTTTGGCTCTCTCGTGTAGCATCACTCTAAAATCATATTCATAAATACTCTGATCACCGAATATTTGTTTTAGATCCATTTCACGATGTTGTATATGTTCGTTACCTTATCGTAGCCCCCATTTGAGGGTCTCGTCTCTTAGCAATTAACCGTAGTTTTTCTCGTAAACTGCACGTTTTTGTGTCATATCTAAGCATTGAAAGATGTGATCAATACATACGTTAGATGATTTCCATACAGGATATATAGAGTATTAATTGCATTTATCGGTAACATCTCTTTACAAGCGATGTCACATGGACGTACTACTCACCTCTTCCTCCATTTTTGTTTTGGTTCTGACCGCGCCTGAACGTATCACGTGACATTTCCTCATCAATATTCATATCCTGGTGTTGATTAATTAGACTAATTCCGGCACCGATATCACCGGTACCCTTTCAATTTCAAGGTCGAAACTTTATAAAAGTCTTTATTAATATATTATCTATTAGTATACAACATTTCCAGTCAATAAAATATGAAAAAAATATCCATAACGGAGTGGGTGTGGCTCTTTAACGTTAGCCTTATCATTATAACGTATCCGCCTGTCATTGATTATAATCCAATATCCAGTGTTTGATCCCTTTTGTTCTGAACTTGTCAGTCCGTTGACGACTTCTTGCATGAAAATCATGATAATGGGAACAGGGCCTTGATTGTCGAATCAACTGTGACATGTAAATACCATAAATAACAAATTTTCAATAATTTGTAAGTAACAAGTTTTATTTATGCTATACAAAAGTCATTGTTCACTATCCTTTCCCTATTCCGTCTGTGGTGATTGTTTCTGTGGTCACGAAATTCAAGAAAGTCATTTTGCAGAAAATCCTCCATACACCTCACAGAACATACATAAGAAATGAAATATGTTTGTCAAATAGAAGGCAAAAAGTCTAACACAATTTTATTAAAATAAAAAAAAGATACTTTATAGGGACATTCATTGTTGGTTGGTTGATAATTTTTCCTTTTTTGCTTTAACTTTTGCCTTTTTAAATGTTTTGCTTTTGTTCTTCAAAACAACACTTGAAGAAAAGGTCACCACTGCGTTACATCCGCGATTGACCGTAAAACCGCTTGGCTTTGGTTTCCTGTCAATATAGGGCAGAAACTGCCTGTTACTGGTAATTCTGTCTATGGCTTCCTCTTCAGACAGCTGTTCTAATTCTTTCCGTGGTATTTTCAGGTGAAATAATGTGTTCTCGTTTATCTGCAAGATGAAACATTGATATGAATGATTGATTTATTTGGTATAGAACTTTTGCTTCTCTCACATGTATCACACACTCTGCTCAACTTTCTCTGTATCTAACAACCTGAATATACCCAAACTTTAATGTTTTGATAACATTATATGTATGTGATCAGCAATATATATTAATACATAAAATATACATTCAACAAAACACGAAATGCACAATCAATAGCCTAGGATATTTCGGGAAATTGGTACAAAATTTTAAATCAATATAAAAGAGACAAGTCTACTCTTTACAATACTGTAGAGGAAAAGTCTGTGTGACGTCACTTGTGTCGTCAGCAGTTACTCAAAGTAGGATACCCGCGAAAAACAAAATGACAATTCAGTACCTGGTGTGGGCACCTCTTGTACAAATCACTGCACGGATTCTCCTATGCATTGAATTCACGAGAACATTAATTCGCCTTATGGGAATGTTGTTCCATTCTTTTGTTAATGCTGCCATCATCATGGCGCGGTTAGTTTGGGGTTTTTAACGTTTCCTTATACACTTGTCCAGCTTATCCCACAGATGCTTAATGGAAGATATGTCGGGGCTATATGGGGGCCATTCCAGAGGCTGAACGTTGTTTGTCGTGAGAAAATCACGACAGACTCTGGCAACAAGAGGACGAGCATTGTCTTGCTGGAAAATTAGGTTATGGTGTTTGAAAAGTGGAAGGACATGTGGTGGGAGGATCTGGAAAGAATCAAGAGTTGATGGTGAACATCACCCGTCTCCTATTCGAGCCATGTTTGCACATCCGGTCAAGACGCACTTGCCGCCTCCATGGTGATAGAGGTGGCCCGACATAAGGTCGGCGTGCAATGATTCTCTAGACAAGCAAGCAATCCCTGGCAGTTTGAGCACTAATAGGTCTACCCATTCTCAACAGCAGTCTTGAATCTGTTGCGCAAGTGCGACAATCGAATCGCCCTGTCTTTAGACGACCGCTCCTGGGAAAATCGGAAACTAACCTAGTAGCATGGAAACGTGTATAGAGACGGTTAATTGTACACCAGGCAACGCCAAACTGCTGTTCGACATTAATTTGACTATGACCATCCATCTTTTTTTGTTGAGTATATGAAGTATAGAGACATACAATCATTTGTAAATGCCCATTCAATTAAAATCAAACTGCTTGAGGGACTTTTTCATCTCTTGATACAGTCCAGCCAAAAAATATCTGAGAAAAACCTATACATAACATTAACAAAATTCTGCTAAAAATGACAAAACTTCTATTCGTCAAATCTGTTGCTCAGGAAAGATTAACCGCAAGTATATAATTATGCATAATTATTACAAACCGTCTTTCCTACAACCGAGAAAGTGGATCTGTGTACAAACTTGCAACACCACAAATGGGAACATAAGGAAAACCCAACTTCATGTAAAGATGTTTCAAATGGATTGATGAACAAAAGTTCCTAATTAATTTCATCAGAAATCCATGCATCCACAATGATCACTACTTAGTCAGCATAAGGAAAGTGTAATTAGTACGATCATACCTTTATGAAATACTTTTAGCACAAACGCACTAAAATGATGTTACATATGTACCGCAGAAATATGTATGTTACATTACTCAATGCAGTAAGAATTCAAATATTTTCGTTAATTTTTTGTGTTAAACACAGATCGAATATTACTCTCTATTGCTATAATTTACAGCAGCATTACGGTGAAGACTTGAGATAATGACCGACAGAATTTCTGTACTTACACAGCACTCTAGAGACAAAGGATAATCTAGATCAGCAAGAGGCCATGACTGGTCCAATACGCCAAGATCCTGGAATCACACGGACAATCAAATATCAACACAGCCTAGACTTCATTGTCATCTTATGATTATCTATTACTCCTGACCTCATTCTACATACATAGCCCATAATTACGTAAAAGATTTCTTCTTCTGTGTTGAAAGTGGAATCTTTGATTAATGTTAATGTTGAAAGTCTCTTTTTCTTTTTTTTTCTGTCAATGATTCTTTTTCTTCTAATAAAACACAATCTAGGTCATATAATGATTCGTATCTTAAGGAATATCAAATATGTTTGAAAACAAAACACGGAAAAGAACGTACAGGAAATCAAAACACAGAAAACAACGGACAGGAAATCAAAACACAGAAAACAACGGACAGGAAATCAAAACACAGAAAACAACGGACAGGAAATCAAAACACAGAAAACAACGGACAGGAAATCAAAACACAGAAAACAACGGACAGGAAATCAAAACACAGAAAACAACGGACAGGAAATCAAAACACAGAAAACAACGGACAGGAAATCAAAACACAGAAAACAACGGACAGGAAATCAAAACACAGAAAACAACGGACAGGAAATCAAAACACAGAAAACAACGGACAGGAAATCAAAACACAGAAAACAACGGACAGGAAATCAAAACACAGGAAAACAGGTCACAGAACAAAAAGCAAAAAAGGGAAAAAACACTGAAGACAAAGCACAGAAAATAATATACAGGAAAAAACGCACAGGAAAACAAAACAGAAAATAACGCACAGTAAAGTAGTCGATGGAAATAACGCAAACAATTTCCTTAAACAAGTCCATGCTTAGTATTGATGTCCCCTTGCCATTAATGTTAATGCTTACAGACTCTTTAAACAATGGTAGAAAAAAAAATTTTTTTTGCCTGGACGTTGAAATTAACTTATACCTATGGGATGATGATTAGACAAAAGGCAAACAAGTGAATAGCACCATTTAATACAAATTTAGATACAAAAGCGCCAAAAAGTGAATTAAACTGCATCCTATATTAGCTGTTTTGTCCTACTTGGACCATCAGCAAATGAGGCTAACGTCCTAAATCTTAAAACTAGGAAGCCACTGAGGAAAATCCAAAGTGAACAAAAGAAATGTCAAACTTTAGACAGGGAAGAGAATTTTCTCATACTTCAGTAAATTAAATCAATTTTATTTATCTGATAATTTTAAAAGAATGTCAAGTACATTCTGACCCATGCCACTATTCATATGAATTGAAATGCGGCATGCAGATTTTGGCAAACCTCGGGGACTAGCAGTCAACCTGTAGTGTCGAAGAATGTACAAAAGACATTAATTAGACTAGAAGATCACCTATGACCGCAGAACATTATGAACAATACAAAGTTACTAAACGGCGATACTAACCCATTTATGATCAGTTGTTCTGGTCGCCTGTGAGCTCATAGCTGTCCAGAGCTCCGAGGCAAAAGCTGGCGCCATGGGCGACAACATGATGATGAGGTCAGCCAGAGCTAACTCAGCTTGATGACTGTGGACAAGAACATCTACGGGTATTTTCTGAAAAACAAATAAAAAATCGAATTACTCCTAAGTTCCAAAGATAATATATACATCATGTACTACCAACAGAAAAAGAAACTTTAACACAGGCATTTATTTATATAATAGGAAACATTCTAGAGGTTGTAACATTGTAGTCTATATTAGATTGTTTAGTTCCAAAATGAATTAACAAAACTATAAATAGATTCAGTAAATGTTTGAAGATTTGTTTCTGTCTCAACTTATTTTTTGCGTAATTTTTCAATACCAAGTAGATGCAGACTTTTAGCTTCATATTCTTAGAAATTAATGTACAGTTAAAACTCGTCATCTAGAAATTCAAGGAACCATGGAAATTATTTCGACTTATTCGAATTTCGACAAATGTCCACAGTTAGGTTGGCCATATCAGTTTCCTGACGTCGATTACTAATGGATGAAATACAGGATACAATAGCGGATACACTGTGATAGCGAAATTCAATCTTATTTGAAAGGGCAGTGAATGAACAGAAACAAATAGACTTCTACTTTCACATTTTATTGTTTATTCATCCAAATAACATGAAACAACAATATCAACAGTGTATGTACTCACTTCAAATTGTTACGTCCCACTCACATGTGTACACTCAAAGCACAAATAGATCATATATCTTACGACATGGCAATAAAACGAAACTAAAATTTGCTTTACTATGCATGAATAAACATAAGCAAAAAGGCAGCACAGGAAAGATTTTACCTGTTGAAGAAAACATTATACAAGTCAGCACTGCATTGTTCAAGCAATAAAACTAGCAAATTACACCGTAACAGTCCTTAACAAACACAAAAATTAGTCACTTTCGGAATTCTGGTGATCAGATTACGTAAAAAAGTCTGTTATGTTGGTTTGTCGGTTATGGAGCTTGGTGAAATGTAGATTGACAAAAAAGGTGTTCGCCAAGGATGGAAGCACTGAGTCTGTTGTTTCGGTACACTCATGGAAGTTCTGTAGAATGTCACACGCAGATATGGCACTCTCCATGGAAGGTTTAGGTTGGACAGGCTATGCTGTATGTCATCGTCACTGTTGCCTTCCCAAGTAGTGACAATACAGTTGATGATATCCTCATCTCTGTTGCGTTAGCTGATGTAGGGATGTCTTTGTCCACTACAACATTGTGATCAATTCTCATTTCAGGGGCTAGGCCAAACAAAATTTCCAGGGGAATCTAGTCCTCTGAGTCAGCATCACTATCAACAGTTATGTCATCTGAGGTTTTCACCGAGACAAATCCGGCATGTCGGAAGCAGTTATGTATGATTTTCTCTGTATTTCTGCCCCAAACTTGGTGAAGCAAACAAATTGCGTCTAAACAGTAACAGATACTTCCCCGGACTTATTGTCGATTGCCCTGATTTTGCACTGGATCACTAGTTTCCTGTAATGCACTTTAAGATTGTGTATTATCCTTAATCCATGGGCTGTGTTACACTTGTAGTGATAGGGGAAGGAAAACATAAATTTGAGGCTTTTAACTCTAGGCTGTGCAGGACAGTTGTCTATCACCATGACAATTGATTTCTTTTTTCTTTGTCATCCGGTTATCAAGTTTTTTGAGTCATTCACTGAAAACTTCTGATGTCATCCATGCTTTCTTATTTGAGTGATACAAAGTTGTCAGAGTTTTGACATTTTTGCAACAGCGTGGATTTGCATACTTCCCTATAACAAACGGAGGAAGTTTGTCACTCCATTTTATATTAGAACCGACCATTGCAGTTAGACGTTCCTTACCTTCTTTGCCTTCATGGCAGCTGAGAGATTTAAATTCTAATGTCTTGTCAGGCAACAGTCTGTAAAAATACTCATCTATTATAAATGTAATCTGCATCATGGTCTTTGAGGATGGAGGCTAATTTTGTTTTCCATTCACTCATACCCTTAGATGAAGACTGTACATCAACTGACTCTGCACACACACTTTTTTTAAGCCTATAGAGCAATTAAAATGATTTAACAAAACCCCTAATTTGTTGGCATAATATGTTACCAGAAATGGTTATATTCTGTGAATAGGCATTGGTAAACCAAGTAAGTAGAGCTTGTTCTACCCCAAGAAATTATGCAATCCTGTTCCTCTGTGGTCAAACTTCCCTGAAGATGAACTTTTTGATGTCCAAGCTGTTTTTTATCCATGTTGATAAAGTTGATTGTGGAATACCGAAATCAGCAGAGATCTGTTTCTTTGTCTTCACTTCCTTTCCAACCTCCATAATGGCTTCATATTCAACATAATACAATCTGGCATCAAGTTTTCTTTTTAAACCATTTCCATCAACTGATCCAGCTATCCCCCGGGTTGGGTACCGGGTCCTTCACTAGATTGTTCAGTTGACCCTGTTCTAGCTAGCTTAGGTAATAACTTATGTAATCAGGAAATGAATTAACAACATTGACCATGTGTAGTATATTAAGTAACAACAGTGTGCTTCTGACCACTGGTCAATACATAATCCACCACTGGTCGATAGATGTCAATAACTCAGTTAAGCTAATCTCACTCTGGCATTTAAATCATGATTAGAAATCTGACATATATCTAACTACACAATTTTGAATAATTTAATTAACTTCCTTATTAACTTTTGATAGTTCAGAATTGACTGTTTTCTTCAAAAGACGTGCTGATGTTTTGACAAAAATTAATTTCAAGACAAGGAATGATATTTCTCTTGTTTTACAATTGAAGGGACTGAAAAAAAGATATAGAAGGGAAAAAATCGGGACTTTGAAACCATTACGACTCAAACAGAATTTCGACTCAAGTGATTTTGGGACAAGTTTCAACTGTACTTCATTTCAGCATGATAATCAAAGAAACAAACCAGTTATTTCAAACACTGACAATATGCTTTCAATCAATTCAATTTTTGAGATGAGAAATATCATTTTATTATAGAAACTAATAAATACCATATTTAAGTAATGTCAAGCTACCTTAAAATTATTCAAATATCCATGTAACCTTGATATGGCTGAATTTATCAGAAACCTCTGACTGAGTTGTTCTGTTACCTGAAAAAAAAATCAAAATGAAATTACATAATACAACAAAAGGCCCAATGGGCCTGTAGAACTCACCTGGGATATATATAAAACCCAAATGTAATGCCTCTAGGCCTTTTAGTTCATGAGAAGAAATCATTTGAATGTTTTAACAAATTTGACCCCTGTGATCTTGAATATCAGTCAAACTTATTTCTGTTCACAAAAATTGTTTGGCTTCATCCTAGGAGCATACCAGCCAAATATCATGCCTCTAAACCTTTCAGTTAATGAGCAGAAGTAGGTTATATGTTTTCACAACTTTGACCCCTGTGACCTTGAATGTAGTCAAGCTTATTTCTTTTTTTGCAAATATTGTTGGACTTCATCCTAGGTACATACTGGCCAAATATCATGCCTCTAAGCCTTTCAGTTCATAAGAAGAAGTTGTTTAAATATATTCTCAAATTTGACCATTTTTGATCATGAATATAAGTTAATGTAATTTCTTTTTGCAAACTTTGTCAGGCTTCATCCTAGAAACATAACAGCCAAATATCAAAATATTTGGTCCATTGGTTACTGAGAAGAATTTGTTTAAAGGAAGAAATTGAGGCCAGACAACAGACAGACAACAGGCCCTGCGCCATGGCATAAGTTCACTCCACCCTTTGATAGAATGTCTCATTTGACAACTGGCGATTGGCCTCCTTAATGTCATCATCTCTGTTCATGACAACTACTGCGAAGACTTTGTCCGCTGGTTTGATAACAATATTGGTATACTGTTTTAAGGCCTGCAATGCCCTCTGTTCTCCCATCCCAAGGTTATCTCTTTAGGTATGGGATTTAGTGCTGTATTCAGATATCTCCTGTTTTACTGCATCTAAAAATGCCTTAAAACTAAATTGGTTTACAAAGGCCTCTGTGGCAGAGTGATCTGTTTCTTCACACTTAATCTCAAGATCAACAATCATGATGTTCAATCCAACAGAAATGCCCAGACCTGCCTGTAGCAAGCCATATGTGGCATGACATGCAGGTAGTACCTATAGACCAATGCAGGACGTAGTGTGATCAGCAACCCCTCAGTAAGGAAATTGATACCATGCACACTGTCATAGTATGACCAAATATAACAACCCTTGCTTGACAGTGGGCTCCAGACACAAAAGGGCTGATGACAAGACGAACAAAAACCAAAATATTATCTGGGAGCATAAAAATTGTCAATGACCACTCACTCAAAGGATACACATTATCTAAAATGTTTTATTAATATTTCAGATCTATTTTTTTCCAATATATATTGAAATGTCTCCCTTTCCCTGCAGCAGTATTTACAATTGTCAGACACAGCTCATATAATATAAACTTAACACAGATAAGTGTATAATAAAGTATCATAAATGACACCAAACACAACACATTTATGATATCATTGTCGTCATAGAAGCTGCCACTGTATATTGTCAAAATGGCTCTTCAACATAATAAATTTCACTGTTAGAGACGAATGAATTATTTAAATTTAAACCAAATTTTTAACCTCCTTAGGCATCAACCAGTATAGTAAATACCTTTCACATGTTTCAGGTTTGTAAAGTTCCGTCATTTATAATATAAATATATTTACAAAGCTTTGTCATTTATATCCTTCATGAATGCCTTAACAAGACAGTAGAAAGCCTTTTGCATGTGATGATGTATTAATCCTTACCTTGACTAAACATTCATTACGAAAGTTATAAATAGAGCATTCGTATTCCTGGAATTTTTCTTCCTCACACGTCAGGGGCATATTTTGTGATCGTCCCTGTATGAAGTTGTTTATCGTGTCCCACACACGCCTCTGCCACGTCATCACACCCACAAACACTGAAAAATTCATCATAGTTACGATTAGACTGAATGCCAAACATTGACATTTCTCCTGAACCTTACTGATAAACCCTGTAAAATTTTATTGTTCTTCAACAGTACACCTCTAGTCTAAGGGTTAATATATTATCTCTTCATAAATTAAAATTTTCTCTTTCTCAAAGGTGATGATCAGATTTCCTCCTTACATCAAAATACAAAATTTTGGTAACCCGTGTATAGATTGGTATTGCAGTAATGACTTAAATACATTCTAACCCTGATAAAGTTGTCAATTACACATCAATGTAGAGAGAATCCTATGATACTACATATATGTGTGTGTCAAAGCCAATAAAAAAAGTCAGTCACTCATTTTTCTTACAACCACATTTTCAAGTACATTCTAAAATGATCATAAGATCTCACAAGAACTGTTATTAAAAGCTCATCGGAAGTCAACTCTCATGAGATCAGTAACTGTTTTGAAAATGGGTTTGAAACTGTTATTTGCTGATTTGGAATGCATTTAAACAAACCTTCATACGTCCACTTGCGGTCAGATTTTGGGGCCACGTTGGACAGTATACACAGACGAGTAGCATCCACGCCATACTTGTCAATTATCTCCTGAAAATTAAAGTGTTGATAATGGCTACAGATGTCAATCACGTAAACTACAAACCTTCAAGATTTCTAACTTCATGCATGATTAAATTTTTATTTTCTTTTTTTTTTCTTTTTTTTTTTTGGCAACACTGATCATGGTGGTTTTAATTACCTTATACATTGTGTGAAGTTTTATTTCGATTTCAAAAACAGACTAGAACAAAGTGAGGACATTTTCTATTCGTACAATTATGGTTAAAAAACTATAAATTTGTCCACTGGCTTTTTCACAAATCTTAATGTCTTCAACACGAAACACTTGCGTGAAGTTTCATCCAAATATGAAAGAATATACAATTTGTATAGATTTGAAAGTTGCCCAACACATCTGTGTAGATGTACAATAAAAATGCAACTTATTTGAGTAAGGATACTTTATTGTAGAAGTGTACCTTATGAGGTTTCATTCTACTAAGGTGTTTAAAAAAATTTAATTCTAACCCCTATTATCTTTCAGTTAAGAATGGTCTATGGGAGACAACTGTATTTTTCAGAATTAAAATTGATCTTTATCTCGAAAATCTTATATGAGAAGGTGAAAAGAGTGAATAAGGTACATGTGACATACATTTTAAAGAGATACCGTAAATTATACAGGTGTACTTGTGGTTTACCTGAGGATCCACCCCATTGTATTTAGATTTACTCATTTTTTCCCACTGTGAAAACACTTTTAGTCCTGTGCTCTTCTCAACTGGTGCTGGCCCTGTAACATATAAATCATGATTTATAAACTATGGGCCCAGTAACATGTATATCCTGATTTGTAAACTATGGGCCATGTAACATGTATATGATGATTTATAAACTATGGGCCCAGTAACATGTATATCATAATTTATAAACTATGGGCCCAGTAACATGTATATCATCATTCCACATTACTGCCCTGTACAATGTATATCATGATTCCATACTATAGCCCTGTATAATGTATATCATAATTCCACACTACAGCCCTGTATAATGTATATCATAATTCCACACTACAGCCCTGTATAATGTATATCATGATTCCACACTACAGCCCCGTACAATGTATATCAGTATTCCACACTACAGCCCCGTACAATGTATATCAGTATTCCACACTACAGCTCTGTACAATGTATATCATAATTCCATACTACAGCCCCGTACAATGTATATCATTATTCCACACTACAGCCCTGTATAATGTATATCATAATTCCACACTACAGCCCTGTATAATGTACATCATTATTCCACACTACAGCCCTGTATAATGTATATCATGATTCCACACTACAGCCCTGTATAATGTACATCATGATTCCACACTACCCCATGGTACAATGTATATCATGATTCATAAACTGCAGCTATCCAATATATACAGTCTGTTTATTACAATTCATGACACGGTTGTGTACATTAATTATAATCACCATAAAAACATGAATAATTTGTTATCTGTGGTCTTGTCGAATTTATCATGATACATATATAGTTAAACAACTTGGAATTCCTTTCACTATCAAATCTAGGTCATAGCTGGAATGATTGTCAGAGAGATAGAATTGTGCAGTAGATTCTAGTGTTGCGAGACCTCCACAAGCTTCAGCTGATCATAAGAAAAGAAGCAGTCATGTATTAAAATGAATACAGCATTTTACCAAGACCTCTATCAGATAGGTTGCACTGTATGCTGCTTACAATAATGGTGAGTATATTTACCTGAAAAGTCTACATCAGCTTTTGAGATATAACGTCCATCCACACTGTAACTTTCTCCTAGAACCATGCCCTGTGTTAACAGGTTGATGAATGGTTCTCTGGTGGATACATACCCACAGTTGTACAGAAAATGGCTGAAGAAGCGGGCAAAGAAAAGATGCAGAACAGCTGGAAAAAAAATTCAAAAGTTAATTTTGGCATTGAGGTAACTTATATGAATATCCTCCAGGTTCTCTGTACTTGTTAATATTGCCTGTTGTTAAAGTGATGTCTCATTCCTCCTGTGAAACACCATATAGAAATGGTGATAATTCATGAACAACTACCAAATACTGTTAAACATCATTTTACAGACAATAGATCAAAAGTGATTGAAATCATTGCAAAAACTCATTAATGGATCATAATCCTGTTTACGTTTTACAATCTCTATAAATACAGAGAAACAAAATGAACTTGAATTCAAATGTGACCTTCAAATACTGTACGTACGCAGAGAACTTTTTGTGAGAGTTAACAGATTAACTTTCATCCAATTTGCTCCTTTGCCAATAAATAGAGGGCGCAAGATCAAGTTTGAAATAGGAATCTTTTAAATATGAATCTATGGCAAATATAGTACTAAAAGAAACCGAACACAGTTTTATACATGAACAGAAATAACTGAGGGCAAATTTTCCCTAAATACATTGGTTATGTATCCTTCTCATTCTTTTGTGCTCTTTGCAGTTTCCACAGAGACACCAAAAAGTGACCATGAATTAACGGATGACCTTGAACTTACCATGTTCCTTGCCACCAATATAGAGGTTAACAGGCATGGAGCGGTCAGCCTTGTCCTTATCAAATGGTGCGATGGTATTCTTAGGGTCAAGGTAACGGAAAAAGTACCAAGAAGAATCAACAAATGTATCCATGGTGTCAGTCTCCCGAGTAGCTGGTCCACCACACCTGTCCAATCAAACAAAAACACATTCAAAATGGACTGTCTTTTTGTGTTTTTGTCTCGCTTTTTCCCCATTTTATTATTTTTTTTTGAGAGGAAGGACGAGGAACAAAGATAAAGCAGTAATAAGAGATGAATGACGTTGATTACTATAACAGACTGAATGCTTAGATTTCCTTAATTTTTTCATGCATTTGATTTCAGGCAAGCATTGTAATACTTAGACTCTTCACAAAATTATAACACTTTCTGAGAGAAATGGATAAAGATTATCATCTTCAAACTAACGCTAGTCAACACTCGCTATTGTGTCTACCACCCATTGCTGTTTTGATCAGAGACAGCCAAGTTCATCAAGTGACCTTTCGTAGCCTCGTTTTATTTTTATTATTATTTTTTTTTTACTGAAAATTTTTCTTCCTTTCATGGGTATGGCAAAATCTTTCCTTTTTTTCACTTGATTCTGATGTGAAAAATTTTCAACCATTACAAATTAAAATACCATCATAGAATTAAACAGGAAACCATTAACACCCTTCTTAACTTACAAAAGTGACCTTTGTTACTTACTTAGGACATTTAACATTATACCAGTCTGACACCTGGGCTAAGGGTGGCCTCCCTTTTTCTGTGGTACCAGGAAGGCTAGGTAATTCCACTGGTAGGTCTTTCATTGGAACAGGCACAATCTGTGACAGTAAAAACTTTCATCAGATGCAATTCTCATCTCAAAAATTGTACAGAAGTGTTTAACATTGGTTGAATTTATTGATGGTGCTAATTCTTATCATCTTGGAAATGATCATCCAATTCGAAGCTATTGAAATATTCTGTATTTTTTCTGTTCTAAAACAGAGTACCTGCTAATAAACAAAATGAAGTACAAACTTCTAGTTAATTCATAAAAAGCTGAAATACATTTATATGAATTTTTGACGTTTCTACTCTGGGGTCTCATTTCTTTTAAAATATATAGGGCTTAATGAATAAGAAAAAGTCTAGCTAAGACGCTTTAAAACATTTTCTTTTCAATTTTGTCTTTTTTATTACTAACAAACAATTCAATATTTATTTTATGGCACTTCTTTTCTTCACATTTATGTGCAAAAGCAAAATGTACAGGAACCACAAGTTTTCTTCAAAGATTGTACTGCCCTGGTGCCAGGTTATGAGTGCAAGGGAGATAACTTTAAAATATCAACAAAATTTCAACAGGTATTTTTGAATTTAAAGCAAGATTACAAATATTGGTTGAAAATGGTCATCAGAAGTTCACATAACACTTGAATAAACTCAATTTGTTTTTCTGAATAGAACATGCAAGTTATCTTTTCAATTCTGACACTTTCAGACAAAAACCTTTGGATAAAAAAAAAAAAACAATATAAAAAAAATTATTTATCTCACCTTACAATTGGGACACTTTATCAAAGGAATGGGTGTCCCCCAGTAACGTTGTCTTGATATTAACCAATCATTCAGCTTTGAACTACACATGTGACCTCCGATATGTCTCTCCTGTAACAGATTTGTTAAAGGATAGTTATCAAGTGTCATGAAACAGAAATTGTGACACTGACTATAGTAAGCCAGTGTCAATACATGCAGAACATCAAAACTGTCATCATATACTAATTATTCTTACAAAGTTACTTCCAATGGGTAATAACCAAATTTATGCTCAAAAATGCAATTTTTCTATGAAAATTATAGTAAAGTCTAAAAATATCTTCCTCCCTAGGAAAAAATGTGAGACTCATTTTGGTAATTAAAGCACCTTAAGATGCTTCCTTTCATGAAGAGTATTTGATTCTACCATATCTGGGTGTTGAGAAGAAGATTTTTGAAATCTGAGTCAATTTAATCCCATTTGGCCCTGCCCCTCAAGTCTCTATGGGGTGGGGACTGTATAATTCACAATTATGGTTCATCTTAGTTCAGGAAAGATTTCTGCAAAATTTCACTGAAATCAGATCTGGGATTTTTGAGAAAAAGTCAAAAATGTTAAATTGTTTACAGGCGCATGATGCATGACGCATGATGCATCACACATGATGGCAGATGAAGGAGATAGCAATAGGTCACTACGAGACTTTATCTCTGTAGACCTAATAATACTTGAGGTCAAAGTACCATTTCATTTTCATGCTTTCAGTAGCTATCATAACAATACATGATATTTGTTTCTGAATGAAAATGAAATGACCAAAAACAGTACCAGGTCTTCTAGTAGGAAAAACTGGGAAAAAATTCATTAAAAAAAGAAAAGAAAAAAAAAGAATAATAAAAAAAAAGACTGATTACCCCAGACTTTGAATTCAAATGGTCTAATGAAAGTTTCATGTAACAACTGATCAATATCATTAAAGGTCAATAACTGAACTGATCATTATAAAATTAGAGTGATAGACAGTTGCAATACCAACCCTGGCATATGCTGTGATTTCTTTCAAAGCCTCTTCTCTGCTCATGCCGGAAAACTGTAACCAGACAAATATTTATAGAAAGTTAATATCAGTATGTTCCAAATCTCTGTGAAAAGCAGTTAAATCCTCAGAATAGAAGTTCTTATACGACAACCAGACTACACGGTCACCTTCATCTTATCACACAACCAGACTACACGGTCACCTTCATCTTATAACACAACCAGACTACACGGTCACCTTCATCTTATAACACAACCAGACTACACGGTCACCTTCATCTTATCAGACAACCAGACTACACGGTCACCTTCATCTTATAACACAACCAGACTACACGGTCACCTTCATCTTATAACACAACCAGACTACACGGTCACCTTCATCTTATCAGACAACCAGACTACATGGTCACCTTCATCTTATAACACAAACAGACTACACGGTCACCTTCATCTTATAACACAACCAGACTACACGGTCACCTTCATCTTATCAGACAACCAGACTACAGACAAACAGACTACACGGTCACCTTCATCTTATAACACAACCAGACTACACGGTCACCTTCATCTTATCAGACAACCAGACTACACAGTCACTTTCATCTTAAAACACAACCAGACTACATGGTCACCTTCATCTTTTAAGACAACCAGTAGAAGATTTGAGGTGATGTTTCGATGACTACACGGTCACCTTCATCTTATCAGACAACCAGTAGAAGATTTGAGGTGATGTTTCGATGAAAAATGAAAAATGAAAAATGGAAATGATTACCTACCCTTACTTATGAATCAGGCCAAAGCTTGTTGAAATCCACCCAGGCAGAAAGGAGGAGTAGGGTATTAAATCTAATTTCAGTTCCTCCCCCTTTAGGGCCCTGTCCCTCAACCCCTGATGGTCAAATAAAAATTTTGATTTAAATAAATGATAACCCTCACCCATTGATGAATCAGACCAAATTTGGTTGAAATCCATCCAAGTTTGAAAGAGGAGTAGGGTTTCGAAAAAAAAGTTTACACACAACGCATGTCGCATGATGCATGACATGCGATGCCGGGCGAAGAACAACAACTATAGGTCATCTTGACACTACGGATCAGATGAGCTAAAAATCCCTAATATATAAATTTAAGGAGTAGAGCACATGACCACCAGATGAAACAGCCCAAGGTTACCCAGGGTTTTACCTGTACACGAAAGTATCATAAGACAAAGACAGGTGTCGTTTGATTAAGACAATGGTAAACCAATAATAGTGATCTTCTGATATAGGTGATAGGACCTCACAACCTGCCAACTAATGTGTGATATGATATAGCTTGTTTCGTCTAATATATACATCATGCAGACATCACGCGCATATTGTATATTCTGTAACATTGTGCATTACCACAGCTCTACATGTTGTACAGGCATCTTCGGGACATGACAGGGAATGATGGGACATGACAGGACATGATGGGACATGGTCAAACAAGGACAGGACATGATGGGACATGACAGGGAATGACGGGACATGATGGGACATAATAGGACATGGCAAGACAACGACAGGACCTGATGGGACATGGTCAGACAAGGACAGAACATGATGGGACATGACAGGGAATGACGGGACATGATGGGACATAATAGGACATGGTCAGACAAGGACAGGACATGATGGGACATGGCCAGACAAGGATAGGAGATGATGGGACATGAAAGGGAATGATGGGACATGACGGAACATAATAGGACATGGCCAGACAAGAACAGGACATGATGGGACATGACAGGACATGATAGGACATGGCCAGACAAGAACAGGACATGATGGGACATGGTCAGACAAGAACAGGACATGATGGGACATGACAGGACATAATAGGACATGGCCAGACAAGGACAGGACATGATGGGACATGACAGGACATGATGGGACATGGCCAGACAAGAACAGGACATGATGGGACATGGCCAGACAAGAACAGGACATGATGGGACATGACAGGACATGATGGGACATGGCCAGACAAGAACAGGACATGATGGGAAATGACAGGGAATGACGGGACATAATGGGACAGGACATGGCAGGGTTTGACGAGATGGGATGGACATAGCTAGCACCACATCCTTCTGAATAATATGATGAGGGCAAAAATACTTGCAAACATTTTTTCCAACAGAGATCCAACAGCTGTTAATGAGACTAACCTGAGCAGAGTTGTCCACTGTCTCCTTTTGACCATCACTGGTCAGTACACTGGGTACAGGTATGTCCAGTTCTGTGGCAGTAAGGCAGTCAGCCTCAGAAATATCTGGGATTGCTAAACATCATAAAGTTGAATGTTTGTTAATATTTCTGTATTTACATATTCTAAAATTGCTACATATTGGCTGAAAGCACCTCTTCTAATTTGTGTTATTGTGAACATAATGCCAAGTAAAAACTTAACATGTTCACTTTTGAAATGAATAAAAATATGAAAGTCATGAAAATCTAATCCAGAATTAAATTAAGTGCATTTGTCCAATCATCATTCAGTTTCACCTTTAAATTAATTTAGTTTTTCTTTCCTTGTGGTAGTACGAGAATTCAAAATTCCAATAAATACCTAAATGGACATCACTGTTTTCATCAAATTTTGTAGTATGGGACACCACAACAGGGACTGCTTTTCCAGTAAATGGATGGATAGCTTTTATTTTCAAATCAAAATCTGAAAGTAATAATGAATGTTTTAAAATGTACACAGATGAACTCCAATTTATCCATATAACATCCTTTCTCGAAGAAAATGACTGGAATAGAATCATTTATGGAAATTAAGAAGCTATCTCACAATATTAACTGGATACACCTGATGTGAGAAATAATTTCGACTTGACTTAAGTAACTCAATAAAACCAATCCAGTTATCAGAATCTATGGCCTCAGTGTTGTTTACATATAAACTTTTAACCCAACAAGTCCTATGCTAGTAACATCACAGTTCAATCATCAACTTACTTTTCTTATCACCATCCTCAGGATTCTGAAACAAAACAAAAACATACATTAAACATTGATTTAATCATATTACAGACCAGTACAAAATGATAAAACTGAAGAAAGACAAGAGGGCCATGGCTATTAAAGGTCATCTGACAATTGATGCATGGATGGACAAACCAGAGGAAAAACTATTTACAACATCCTATGGTTCATAGAATTTCAAACAATCTGAAAGCTTTTGTTTTCATTTCAGTTCCAGTTACCACAGACTTATTATCTGTTCCATTCAATAAAGTAGAAATTTAAAAAAAACTTAAAAAGACTTTCATCCACTGGACAACAGAGTTGCTAGATTCAAACATGATAAGTTTTGTGATTGAAAAAAAACTCTGTTAATCAATTGTAAGCAATCTGCATTTGACCAGCATACCATGTAGTACTCAGCGTTGTTAAGTCTGTGAGAGGGAGACAAAGCTATATGAGAAATCCCATACACCAGCTCAGGACTATGAGTAAATACAATCATTGGGTCAGCAAACTTCTCGTCCTCCTGAAATAAAATAATGGTTTCAGGTTTTATCTGTGATTAAGTGGCTAGTGTTATCCACGAAGAAGTTCTACTAGAATTGTATTCCAGTTTTACAAACAGTGAAAGGAAAGTTTGTTCAAAGAATTAATGCATAAGAATTCACTCATAAAAGACATCACACAATATTTTTAATAAAACTTCTGTATTTGGTTAAAAACAAGCTGAACTGTTTCTTTGTATGTAATATTCAATCAAATCATCATCTGGTTTTCATTTAAACTCTTCATACTGAAATCAGCAATCAAAGGTTTTTCTTTATGAGTACTCTTATGGCACTGAATTAGTGCTTCTGTTTGATCTGTTTTTAATTCCATATCAAACACATTATATTTTTTGAAATGATATAATCTCTCATCTTGCAGTACATTTCTGAGTTCAAAGTTGAATCTGCAACCGTTACATTCCCCAAGCCACTCCTTCTGTATGCGTACAATGTCCCTCCAAAGAGATGTGTCCACCTCATCTAGACCCTCAATCAAATCCTGAAACACAGTAAGAACCAGAAAACATCTCTTAAACACCAAAAATATGTCATCATTCCTTCTTTCATCAAAAATTTGTTTGTAACTTGTTGGGTTTATTACTGTCTAAACAACCAGTGTCATTCTGAGAACGGGTGTCATTTTCCAAGATGGTGGCAACCATACCTAGTTAAATGCTCTACTGACTGAGCTGTCACTACCCTCAGTAAAGACGGATGTACACCTGGGGTTATGTATGTCAAATTGGCTCTGTCAGGAATAATTGCAATATATAGTAAAATTTGACAGACAACGGGTGGAGGACGTTACAGTATCCAAACAGCTCACTTTGCCCTTGGGTGAGTTCATAAAACATGGATCTTCATGGTAGGTGAGTTAATAACACTTGGAACTTCAAGAAAGGTGAGTCAATGATACAAGCCTAAATGAACAAACCTTCGTATATGCAGTTGTCTTTATATACCACTGTCGGAGAAATCTTTTTTCTGCCTTTGCTCCTGACCTCCAGGAACGACCATTTTCATCTATCTGTTCATCAGCCAAGACTGTCTTATCTACAGGATCCCAGTTTACCTCCCCCTGGCCAATGATACAACACATATTAACTTATGTCTACATATACAACTTCAACATTTAGTGGTTGTCTCCCCCTGACAAATGATACAACAACACACATCAACTTATGTAAACATAAACAACTTCAAAATTTAGTGGTTTTCTCCCCCTGACCAATGATACAACACATATCAACTTATGTCTACATATACAACTTCAACATTTAGTGGTTGTCTCCCCCTGACCAATAATACAACACTCATCAACTTATGTTTAAATATACAACTTCAACATTTAGTGGTTGTCTCCCCTTGGCCAACAAATATCAATTCAGTTACCTCATTTTGATAAACCAAGCCATGTTCGTACATCTTGAGGAAAATAAACTGAGTCCATTTGTAGTAGCTAGGATGACTGGTATTTAGCTCCTGTCAAAACATAAATGTACACATGTACTGATGCTAGGACTATGATAACAGTAGTTGCATACCAGAGTGCATGCCTCACTATTACAATTGTGGTACACAATAACCAGTAATCACAGTTAATGAGTAGTGGTTAGTAGAAAAAAAATATTGCCATACCAAAACAAAAAAAGATTTTAACAAAACATTATACAATGCACGATGTCTACAACCTTGACCTTTGACCATGGCACTTGTAAAGCAATGTCATCCAATCATTTAATTGTTTGGAATAATTGGACATTGGTAACATGCCTGTCATACATCATGATTTTTGTGTGATTGTCACAGTATTTACCCTTTCTCAAGTAGAATCAAAACATGATGACCATTTTCATGGTTTTTGAAAGGAGGTAGAGTCAAATAAATAACTAAATATTGAAACCTCTACCAAACACATTCTGAAAATAAATAACTAAATATTGAAACCTCTACCAAACACATTCTGAAAATAAATAACTAAATATTGAAACCTCTAACAAACACATTCTGCAAATGAAGTAAAATAAGTAGAACTGGCTAACCAGAAGTGACAGAAGGGAGGACAAATGGACAAACAACACAACAACAACAACATCCTATTCTATCTTAGATCTGGGAGAGTTTGGAATGTGGTCTAAATTTTCTGTTACTACTAACTGTGTGTGGGTTTTTCTTCTACTAAACATAGCTTGATTAAAACTGGAGTTTGTTATGTAGATTGGACAACAGAAGAGTTTGGTTACACTTACTGAGTCCCAGTCAAAGCTACAGAAAAGATCGTCCATCTGCTTTTTCATGCTGGCTATGTTCCTACAACACAAAGCCATCACATTTACAACATCATAAGGGCAATCACATTGTTTGTCAGTACAAATACCTTCTCTGTATCAGGCTGTAAACACACATATCTCAAACTTTTTTTCAGTTTTGGAGCATTTTAGTTTATCTTACTGGGAGTATAGTGAAAGACATTAATTGTTTCATACAGATGACTAAACCCAAACTCACCAAAGATGTATTTGTTTTTAATTATATCAAGGACCCCTCTTTTCCTTCCTTATCTTCTCCCCAAAATCCACAAACCGGGAAATCGCGGCTGACCTATAGCATCAGCATTCAGACAGGCCCATTGAAAAGATGTCGGCCACGATCAATTATTACCTCAAACCCCTTGCTCTCAAAGTCAACTCATATGTGACAATTACAACCAACTTCCTGAACAAAATCAAAGATCCTGGTCAAATTCTCTCTTATAGCTATCTAGTAACAGCCTACGTTTCTCCCGCTACACATCAATTCCCCATAGAGATGGCATCCTTGCGGCTAAACACGCACTGGACACCAGAGAGAAAAAAACCTACCAACTTGGTTCCTCCTTAGATTTGTACGTTTTGTCCTTATGAAGAACTGTTTAATATTTAATAACAAACATCTACAAATACAAGGCACCAAATGTGCCTTGAATTATGCAATACTCTTTATGGATGTATTTGAAACTAGTTTCCTGGAGACCCAACCTCTTAAAAACCACACAGGAATTCTATACAGTATCAGATCACGACTTAGGAATATTATTATTACTGGCCTTAAAAAGAGCAAACAACTTAAAGAATCTTCTTGTGAGAGCTGATATAAACCCACCTAGCAACACGCATGAAGTCAACCCTGTCACAAACTGTAGTTTGTGACCTTATGTGGAGACTTGCATTTCAATTACCAGTAAGCCAAACCAACAAACCTTTGACATCAGACAAAGCATAAAATGCCGCTCTACCAGTGTATCTTATATCAAAACTTATATGTCAACTGCCAATAAATCCAGTTGAGATCTTCTGACAGGTGTTGTCCGGTGATCCATTCGGTTTATTTTTAATTAATTCAATAAGGTTATCCATCAGGATTATCAAGTCACCAATTGTGGATAAGAATTTATATCTGACTCCTCTAGAACTATATAAATTACAGCCCATCTTATGAAAGACAGTTCTGGATTCAATAATCGACTTTGCTTTTTTATTTTATTGGTATATTTTACGATACCAAATTATTAAGTGGAGATTAACTTCTTCTTTCACCAGAATGACTATGTAGTCTTACATTGTTGTCCAGAGTTGGGGATCTAAACCTCGTTCTATTGCAGCATTCTCCGCAGGAAGTCCAAATGCATCCCATCCCATCGGGTGAATGACCTTGGAGAAGAAATCCATGAAGTATAAGTGATAATTCTTATAGAAATATTAGTGTGATGTGTCACATATTGGGCTCTCTCCTAATTGTCACACAAACTCTGTATTTCAGTTTGTTTGTAAGGTTTGTTGTCCTTCCAACAGCCAATGTCAATTTGAGGTTAGGTCTTAACTTTTGATAGCTGGTGATTATATTACTGAAAAATAGCTCCCCAAATGCGGGCAATACCCCACAGCCTTATTATAAATTTGGGTGCAGGGCTGAGATTGTGAAAAACCTCAATAGGCTGTGTAGGTCCATAGGCCCAACATGCCCAGCGAAAATGGTGATCGCCAGTGATGTCGTTCTTGAGATAATGAGCGGAATGCAAATTCAAGATGGCGGCTGTAACCGCCATATTGGATATCAGGCGACAAGGAAAAACAATAGGGTTCTGTAGGTCCATAGACCCAACATGCCCAGCGAAAATGGTGATTTTTTTAAATATTGCCCAGAGCAATTCGAGTAAAGTGTCTTGCATCAGGACACAACCATGACAGTACAGGATGGACCATTTAAATCAGCAGGGAGTGTTAAACCACAAACTTCACAACTTCACCCAAGGTTGTTTAGTCCAAAGTTCTATGGACTAAAATAAAGTGGCTCCTCCATCTAAACAATAAAGCTATCCTCAGACTTGCTGCAAACACAGAGAGAAAAAGTTGATGTAAATTTTCTGAATCTTTGACTGAAGATGTTTTTGTGTGCAGTCTGTAAGCAAACTTATTTGATTGATCTCCTAATATCACCTATGAATGTGACAGTCGCATGAAGAGACAATATTCGTAATAGCTTGTAACATTATTTACTGATGGTATATATACTGTAAAATTCACTCTTATTAAATCACCCTAAATGATTCCTAATATCACCTATGAACTCCTGAAGAGACAATATATGAAACTTAGGCTCACCATCAGTACTCAGTGTTCATAGTGCAAGTTGCAAACATACTGTCTGTTTAACCATCTAGCTTATGGTGCACTTTACTTCGATCATTGTTCATCTATAGCTGAACCTTTAACAATATCCCCTATAGACACATGTTTATTGGGGAAAGATACACGATTTGCTATATGTCTGGTATGTAGAAGTTACAATATCATTCTGTACCAACACCACTAAACAGCAGTACCTGTTTTCCACAGAGCCTGTGGAAGCGTGCCATAACATCACTTATAGTGTATACACGGACATGTCCCATATGTAGCTGACCACTGGGGTATGGAAACATAGACAGCACGTAGTACTTCTCCTTGTTAGCCTGTAGGTAAATACAACAATATTTCGCCACCAAAATATGAACAACACAAATATAAACAAAACAGTTTTACATCATTTCACCATAGGGATGAAATGAAATCAGTTTCAGATTACAAGACACCCAAAAGATGGGCAAATTGATGGTGTTGTTTGAGAGAAAATCATTCAAAGACAGTGTCCAGAAAACTGATTCAAAATTTTTTTTCTGCATTCATAATTACAGCTTCAAATGCTTTTGAAAATAATTTTTTTAAAATTCTAACAATAATGTACAATATTCTGGTTGTAACCCTTTATCCAAAGCTTCCATTTGTCAGTGCAATGAAAAGATACACAGCTTCTAAGCTCTCTAAGATTTTTTATATGGCCACTCAATGCCCAAATAATAATGCTGGCAATAAGGAAAAGACACACATGAATAAACACTGAAGTTGTTAATTACAATGACACAAAATCTTATATTTTGCAAGGCCAAACCTTCTCAAGAATAAATCAAAATGACACAATAACTATATATTTACACATTTTAATTAGTGTATACAAATGCATCATACTGACTTAATTGTTTGATTTTACAATTAGTATTAAGAAATTCTCAAATATTTTTTTGAAATGTAGATTTCTATCTCCGTTGTTTTCATACATGCCTTGTATTGTTTCCAATAACTCACTTCTGAATTGTTGCACTTTTTAGTATGCTGCTCTTTCAATCGTGGCTTCCAATATTCTTCCAGTTTTCTTGAAACATCTCTGTCAAATTTTGCTTCCTATTTCAGAGAAAATCAAAGTAATTATCTTTATCATTGATATTGGTAATAGGTAAACCATCAGGAAGTGACATATAAACAACAGTATAAGATACAAAATTTGAATAATGTAATTATGCTGTCACTCTATCTGAGTTACCTCCCCTGTCACAGTTCTTGACACGCTAAACAATTAACATATGTGACTTCTGACCATATTCATTATTCAGAGGGGTCAATATATAGTTATAATAGCAGGTAATTCATGAATACTAGTACACATACATATGTATATGCCACGATCAATTAATTTCTTTTCTTTATTTGAATATCAGCCAGTAGTTTTTTCATATTTGAGAATCAACCAGTATGAATGTACATGTATATATATAATAGTGGGGAAAAAAACACTGTGCATGGGTATAATATGCTATAACTTAGGAGGTATATAAGAAATCAACAAAAAATGTTTAACAGGGTTTTATCTGAGCTTTACTTAACACCAGCTCAATTGATATGGTTATTTCATCAGCAGTGTCCTGGATAGAGATCAGTTTTCATACATGTTCTCTAAACAAAGTTCAGGTAATAGATACCATGTGTATGGCTGGACATCCTAGACGTATGCATAATTCAAGCAATCAATTATGTACGGTTCACAATTGCGTACCGTTCAGGGACTAATTCTTCTAAGGCCAGGAGTATTTCTAGCCATGAAAGAAGCAGTTCTGAGTCATTCACAGAGATGAATGACCCATATATACGTATCCTGGTGATAAGATGATATGCGTGGACGTCCTGACCGAGGCAGGTCTTTCTGGTGGTCCAAAACTGTTGGTACCGTCTCAACAAGGCGTATACAGTATTTTGGTGCACACAAAGTTGTCTTGCAACTTCAGCATGACATACACCAGTTTTGATCGTGTCAGTTTCATTCAACCTTGGGCATGTCATATCAAAGACATTTTTTTTTTTTCAAAATTATGCTGGTTTTGGGTGTTACAGGTATTTACACTATGCTTTTACACAGGTTTGGCATTGACTGCTGGATGAAAAAGAATGTGAAATATGGGCCAGACAGACAAACTACTCGTGATATTCATGCATTGACCAGTGTACAAGACGGAAAGATATACACAACTTACCTGTGTAAAGTTTCAAGCTTTTATCAATAAAATTGAACATCACATGAACATTTTGTACATGCACTGTTTCTTTTTTCCACTAGTATATATAACAGACATTTCAGCATATGTTTCCTCCATTTTGAATGTGTAACAAAACCTGACAAGCTATAATTCCAATATTGATCAATAGTGATATCCATTTAAACCAAATTAAACGGATATCATGTAGAAATGACTATAAAAATTAGTCTTACAAAAAAATTCTCCAAATTTTATTGAAAATTTGATTTTAAGCTGTAGATGTTTCATCAACTTTCTTACAAGACCAAAAATAAAAACAAAAAAGTAATCCTATTTTATAATTACCAGTTGTCCTGTTTCACTAAAGACATGTCTAATTTGCTGCCAGCCCAACTGCCTAAAGGATACCCGGAGTGTCTTCAGGATACACCAGGTCACCATGATGATGTGCTGCGTGTTCTTCTGAAAAGCTTAATTATCAGGTCTTCTGATGTTAAACTGTAATGCCCATCAATAACCTGAAACAAATGTGAAATTTCATTGCAGCTTATCTTGTTTCACATCTCATACATTTGAAAACTTTTGAGTTTTTTTCTCATTACTGAGGCCATAACTTTTGAAAAAAGTTGTTGAAAGCTTACCAGATAAAAAGATCACTACATCAAAAGTTTGTATACTTTTTCATACCAGAACTTCGGGATATTTTACACGGCTGAACAAATCTTGATAAACATGACAGGCGGCATACACGGTTTGGGACACTTCAAAAAGGGCTTAGCTGCACTGCCTATGTAATTTCAAGCTGTAAACGCACCACACACCCACACCCTCCCTCACAGATTCACACACAAGCAGGTTTTACATATACAAACATTCAGTTATTACAAACCAAAGTACCTCTGCGTAACGCCAAGTAATTGTCAAGAATGACAAATTGGTGGAACAATTAGATTCTTCCGACATGATATGTTCGTATTTTGACGGAGAGGGCGAAACAAAATGAGTTTATTATCAGATAATGCTGGTACCTATTGTCTTCCATCAGTAAACAAGTAAAATGTTCAGGAGTCTGACGTCTGTCAATAATAATGTATTATAATCGAGAAGAGAACAGAACGTCAGACTCCAGTGGTAAATTGTTTATGTTGTCATAACCGTCTTTCTGCATTATAACGCTAACACACTGGTCTATCGTTTACGTTATAGTTTAGCTGTTAATCAATCCAATGCACGTTGCTTACTGTAAAATAACATCGATAACAGCTTACATCAGACTGCATGTCCTTGTTACCGACTACATGGGCGCAGCCATCTTTGTTTTACCTAAATTTCGATCCAAGCACGGAAATAATATTGCGGATACTCGTAACCTTTTACTTTCTGTTCAAAGAATATTCAAATATGTATGTTAATATTACAACAAATTAAATTTCTATTTGTTATTTATACTTGCTCCATACAAAGAATTGAAATTGGGAACTTTTATAAGAGTACTAGCTTGATACCTATACAAGTAATTACCTTGAACGGTTTAAGAGAACTGGTCTGAAAAAATCGAAAGATGTGATTTGGCCTATCTGTTTCGATGGTAACAGAAAAAAATTTAAATGGAGAACTTCCCAATAGCAAAAGATACTACTAGCTTAATAAGTGTAAAAAAAAGTTTTGAGCAATTATTTTGAACGGTTTTAGAGCACTGTGCACGGAGAAACTGAAAGGTGGGGGTCAACATTTATGGGAATTTGACATTAGCCCCACTTGGAATTTCAAAATATGATAACCATAAACAGATATGGGTATCAGAAGCTTAAATACGGAAAAGTTAGTCTCGGAATTGATTTCTTATAAAATGGGAGCTCCTTGACTAACACCTTGGTGTGTGTTAAAGTAGTTGTTATGTAATTCCTTCTAGTGCATTATTATGAGGCAAATCCAATAGAATTATGTCATTAATGTGTGCAAATTATATCAACCAACATTTTGATACCACATATCACACTATTTCAGGAGAATCCTTTCTTTTATGTTGAAAAATGCAGCCAAAATTCATATAAAACGCCATTACTTTGGAGAAAAGTACTGTTTTGGACACTCCAATTTTTATACTTCCAAAACCAGTCTATTTTTCATACTTGCTTAAAAGTTGGCCACAGATGATATTTTTCAAAAGGATGATTGTTGGAAAAAAATGAAACCCAGTAAATTTGTCATTTTACACATTTGCTTAAAAAACCCAAAGAACACTGATTTTTTTTTTCATTTTCGTTAAATTGTAACAGCTTAATAACCAAAAGTGTGTAGGTCTTGCTATTTGACAAGGTGCTTGTTCATGTCAATTTGTTCAGTTTGGTTAACATTGTAGAACTTGACCTCTGTTCAAGGTCAAACACAAATGAAATGTGTTAAAATAAAGGCATTTTTGTGCAAGTTTCGCAATATGAAGATTTAGTTAGCAGCTTTATACAAATCTTTTGATGAAAGTCAATAAAGTGACCTTATTAGATTATGTACAGTAATAGTGACGGGTTTTGCCTTTGTCAGTTACGATCCATAATTTGTGGCACTTTGAAAAGCTAATAAGAGAACAGTTGCAGCACATTACATTGTGTTTTAGTATAGCAGAACTGCTCAAGGGATTGCTTGTTTGAACTTGAGTGTTGCATGGACTGGGTTAGTTTGATCTTGATGCTGAACAGGAAATACAAAATGCATGCAACATGTGCACACATTCCAACTGTGCCCGCTGGACAGACACAGTAGTAATCTTTGAAAGATCATTTCTGTCAAACGCAATCCAAACATTGTATTTTGACTGTGATTTGTGTCTTGAATGGATTTGGCCTCGGAAAAGATTTTCATCATGCTGATAGACCCAAACTTCAAAGTCTCCAGCAGGAGTCAGATGCTCAACAATATATCTGGGTGCTACTTTCAACTGGTATGATCCGCAGGTTACCGTTTCTAAATATTCCATATCCAGTACTGGAAACTCTATTGAACAGGCATCAAGCTTCACCAAGTTGGCCTTGTTGCGCCTAGAAAGGCCAGGTTCATCTGCAACCCTTGAGGCCAAGGTGTTGGGCAGATCCAAACGTGATTGCATTTGGTCAGCAAGGTGACGGTCCCTCTCTGGTGTGGACACATAAATTGGTCCACGTACAGCATTCAATGAAGCAGTAGCTACTTTAATCAGTTCCTCTAAGACACTTAGGAAGTAGTTTGAGCTGAGTTGTTCTCTGAACAGTTTCCACTGTTTCAGTCGACCATAGTAGCTCTCCATCATGATGGTCCTCGTTGGCAGTAAGTGTATCATGCTGTGTCTGATCTGACAGAAGATAGGAAGGCATGTACACAGAAAACCCTGAACCTCGCAGCATCTCCAACACATCACTAAACCCCCGGTCAACAATCACATTGTCATCTTCACTGAGCCACAAGGTCAGGTTCTCAACTGTTCCAAAAAGTTTTGTCAAGATGTTTGCATCGTTTTCATTGCCATAAAAAGGCTCAACAGTGCCTAGTACATAACCATATGGAAAGACAATGCTCATGAATTTGCGCTTCTTTTGCCCACAGTATGAGGATCTTTGAAGGGGGGATCAGCACGTTTTTGGACATCAATATAGGTACCATCAAGGATTACAGTTACTTTGTAACCCATAGAAACATCTTGTAAAGGCAGTGTTGTGGCACTTAGCGTCCTCGCAGGTAATGTGTCTTGGACCAAGGAAACTTGGCACATTGGTCTGGCTCAAGGCTTTTAAGACACTATGAAATGTGTAAGACACATACCGTTTTTTTTTGTCAGACCATACAAGACACCAAGTTGAGACCATAAATATTGGTCTTCAGTTTAACCCACGCTGGGGTATAATGCATAGCCCAGTGCCCTCTTTTCCACATATGGCACATCTTTTATGTGAGTTGCCACCATAAAATAATTTCTCAACAGAGATTAGCGGTAGTTGGTTGGACGGCAATCAGTGTAAGCATCATCTGCATCATTAGCCAGGTCATCTGGAGTGCTCATACCAGAAGGTTCATACAATTCAGACTGCAATGGCCTTTGCTTGAGGTACCGATTGTATCACTTTCCACATAATATGCTTTCTTCTGTTATGCTAATTATCTCAGCAGTCAGCAGCTGGTGCAGTCAGTTATACTGGGGTAAATATGTACATGTCTTACTTGAGCTCGGGCTCTTTGAGAGAAATCTTTCAACCTGGTTTTGCAACCACGACCTATGCACACGTCTGACATGATTATTAGTAAATTTGATATCTAACTAATTGTTATCCATTATTGTTATGTTTAATGATAAACGAAGAAAAGTGGAATGACGATAACATGTTATCAGTAATATTGATTATTTAATCATTGTTCAGTTTTTATAATACAGACTTAACTGTCAGTTGTTCTTTAGAGGATAGATTTCTAGTGCAGAAAACACCATGTTAAGTTATACCTACTGAAGTTAACTTTAAAACAAATACAAAATACTTGAGGTGCTTTGGTACCACACAAAACTGGAAAATATAGCAGTATTTGGCACAAAAAACAACGAAAATTAAATCTTCATGATTATGGTAAATTATGCAATAAGCATGTTTAAATTGCTAAAGATATATTTTACCGGTTTTGAAATCGCTTAAAATTTATTCAATAGACAGCATATATAACTAGAAAGCTTTTAAAGAAGTATGAAATATAGACTGAGATTGCAACTATACAAAATGAACTTGACATATATTCTTTATTTTGTGAAAATTTTGCAATTTGTAAATCAAAGTTATCAATATGCTTACATTTTTTATGCCAATATAACATATGTGGTATCAAATTAACGGACATTTTATGTACTTTAGGCTGGTATATAAATATTTTCATTTAAAATTCTCATGTAGCAAGTATTTGTCATTATGTCAGGGTACCTTTGTCATTCAACCTGGTGTTATACAAGGAGGTCCAGTATGACTATAAGTAGTTATAATGACTAATCATTTATGCGGTTGTAGGTTATTTTCATGTATCTACACGTGACGAAAAAATAATAGAAATCTATGTAGGGGCCAAATGTTGACCCCACCTTTGTGATGAGGATTATCTGTTTCCATGGTAACAGAAAAAAATTGAACTGGGCACTAACCTAATACATACAGAAAGTGTTGTGGAGTTGAGTGGAACAAATATTAAAATACACCATATGCACGAATAATGCTTCCAATAATGATAATTGACATTTCCCCAACACAATACATTTGTCAAAGTTTTCATGAGAGAATGAATTATAAATTGTGTCTTTGTTAAAAATATGGTGGATTATGGACAGGTCATTTTAGACTTCACGGACAGTTTGCAACAGCTGATGCTCACAATTATGGACAAGTCATCCTAGACGTCATTGACAAATCACCTCAGATAATGATAACCGGACGAATCACCTCTGATATTCCTGACCGTCAACTTCCTAAGAAATAGCCCAACGGTCTTAACAGTCACCTGAATTCCATAAACATTGTTTGTGTTGTGTTATATATATCACATAAAACATCTTGTTAACATAGTTAACTGTCATCCTATATTATGGATTCTCATAGAGTTTGAATTAGAGAGAAAAAATTCTATATAAGCTTCTGACTTAATACCCCTCCCCAGGGGAAAATGCAAGATCATGAAATTTATAACTTGTGTTAAAGCATCTCAAAAACCCTTCCATCAATAAAAAGTATTTGATTCTTCCATATCTGAGTGTTGAGGAGATTTTCGATAATTTGATTCTATTCAACACTGCCCCTATCCCCTAGGTCGGAGACATTGTAATTCATTCATTTGGTTAATCATTGGCCATGAAAATATCTACCAAATTTCACTAAAATTGACTCAGGGTTTTTCAAAAACAAATATGAAATGTAAATTGTTTTACAATAGATGGGCAAAATGCAAGAAATTCTTTACAACTCTTTACTATCTAGTATGAAATGCTGTTTAATTAAAGTAAAAACTACCCTGCCGGGCCTTAACAGTCATCTGAATATATAGACCTGTATATGAAAGAGGACAAATAAGCCTGAAATAAACCTACTCTACAGCTTACAAAGAAGATATTGTTTGGTCATAAAAACATTTTCTGTAAAATTTTAACAAATTTGACCCCTGTGACCTTTAAAAACTGAAAATATAAATAACATGAACATGATTGATAACTCTTCATTCCAGCATACTACGGGCCTGTTATCAGAACTTTGGGCTTTTTGGATTTTGAGAAGAAATCATTTAAAGATTTTTAAACATTTATATCTGTGATC